TATTTATATTCTACTTTCACAGGAGGAGTATACACGGTTTCGAAAGAGTCATGCCGCATCATGTCAGGGCTCTTCTGGCGGCTCTGTGGAGTTTTCTGAGTACCGCATTTGATCGCAGGCCGTCGGAGGAATGCAGCATGGTAGAGTTTATAGTTTTGGCTCGCAAGCTCAAGCATACAAGGGGACGCTCTCCTCTACTGCATTCAGCTTCGCATCCAATTCACATGAGTCCTTACATGCTCAACAAATAAGTGCCCTTCAAGCAGAGCTAGAACAAGTAAGGAAATCACAAGCTGAGGTTCAAATGCAGATGCAGGAGCAGCACAATTAGTTGTTGGATGAAATGCGCAAAATGAGTGAGCAGTTTAGTGAAAAAGAGGTAGCTCTAGCTGAGGAGGAGTCCACGGAGTCAGAGTAGTTTAGTTTAGTCATATGAACTTGTTTATTTCTGTTAATCTGTGTTATTGAACAATATGTTATGTTTTTAGCTGTTTGATGCTATTGAACAATTTGTTTAAATAGATATTTATGTTTTTGAGTATATGTTGAAGTTCTTTATATCTGTAATGTGTATAATTGTGTTCTGGAAGTGTATTTGATTATGTTTGCAAGTGTGGAAATGCAATTGCTGGCTGGGAAGGAATTTTTTTTGTCAATGCTACTGGTTTCCAGCGGATTTTGCGTCGGAAATACGACGGAAACGACGATACAACGAATCAGCGCAATCATGCCGGCGTTTTTTTTTTTTTTATGCCATAAATTTCTGGCACATCTTACTGCGCGCGTCGTATCCGCCGGCTTTGTCCGACACCAATTGATCACTGGAAACAAGCCGTAGCTTATTTAATGCGAACCTACGGTGATTTATCCGCCGGTAATTTTCGTCGGATCGATACGTCGTAAACTTCTGGCGCACATATCGCCGGAATAAACGTTTGAAAAACGTCGGCTTGGCTAGCATTTTTGTGCCGGTAATGCGCCGGAGATGGCGCCGGAAAGTTTTTCGACGTCTTTTAAACGTCGGAGGGTATTTTCCGACGCAAATCAAACCAGCGCACAAAAATCCGCCGTAAATACGCCGGAAACCAAGAACTTCCTTCGGATTTTATATGTTACCGACGGATTATATCCGCCGGTACTAGCGGGTTTTCCTGTAGTGTATCTACTCTTACCAACTCTAAACATCTTTACCTACCATTTTTATTAAACTTTCATCTGGAGATCAGGAAGAGTTTGCAAAGCTGATTAATGAATAACAAAGCTAATTTTTAATATGATTTTTAAGCTTCGTTAGGGACGGCTTTCTTATTGCTTCATAAAACAACTTGTTTGTACAAAAAATAAAATTTTTGTACTAAAAAAATATTTTAAGAAACAGTAATAAAGCGGTTCCAAACAAGGCCTTATGCTTCATTGGGAAAGCTTTCTTATTGCTTTGCTTTCAGATCGTAACCACAATATTTGTTTACCTACTATTTTTTTTTGCACTATTTTTAATAAATTATTATACTAGGAAACTGCTTCTTATAGTCACTTTTAAAAAAGTAGCATTCTTCATAGCAGCTTTATAACAACCTTTATAAAAAACGGCAGCCATCCCAAACAGATCTTTGAGTGATATACTAAGTACCCCTTAAAAAATTTCATCATTAATTTATCATTTTAATCAACAAATGGTTTCCTATCTACAAGAATCCTAACATCATCATGACTATATATATAAAATATATGTATGAATATGTCCAAATTTTCTATAATCTTCTTCTGCTAAGCAATTTTCTTTCAGGCAATGACGTCAAGAGTAAACTTTCCCATGCAGCCCTCCATTGCCAGCGTATTTTTCTAACTTGCTGGTTATCTTTCCAAACCAAACCTAGCTTCTTAATTTATCTCCAACCAATCTTGTCTATTCTTCATTGGCCAACTGAGACTTCAACGTGTCCTTTAGTTTTCTTCTTTGCTGACAAAGAGCCAACCCCTCTGAATCTCTGATTGACACCTCTTATTTGAATTTCATCAAAATTAAGCCGACATTATTCATGGAATCCATAATGAGTTCTTCCTCATCCATTAATGGCAATGTCGAGTAGGATACCAATATTGGACTTGGCACGAAAATCTGACACGAACTCAGCACAAAGTGGCGACGGCTACTTATGCAAATTGGGAAAGATAAAAAATTAGATTAGGTTCTAGTCGGTATGAAAATAAATGCAAGTAATTATTTTTTTTATTTGACTTGAAGTAAAATAAATACAGTGTAAAATCCAACTATGATGCAGGTAGTGTCATTGGGGCAGGCAATGATGATGATAATGATTGATAATTTTTCGTTGCATTTGAATGTCAACCTAATTTAACGATTTTCGAATACGCTAAAATTGATCAGCTAGATGTTGAATTTGAAATCATTCAAATTTTTTAAATTATTATTTTTTAAATGAGTTGTGAAATGCTCGACTCACCCAAATTTGATAAGCCTGATTAATTAATCAAATTTGAGCTCTGACTAGCTAATTTTTATGACTCATAAAAAAGCAAAGAAAATGAATATGATTCAAATAAATATTATAATAAAATTATAAAAAAGAGAGAAATTAGAATATATATAAATAATAAATAATAAATTTAATATAAAAAATAAGAAATAATTTTAAATATTTCATTAGCTTTATACTTAAAACTCTTGAATTCTAATATATTTTAAATTATTATTTTTTAAACGAGTTGGCTCGCTTTCTAATGAGTCGAATCACGGCTGACTGAAGCCAAACTCGATAGCTCATCAAGCCATTCATCAAGCAGCCGACTCGTAAGTTGACTTGACTCACTCACACCCATATACGGAAGCAATAGAATATGCAAGTAATACACTTTTTAAATCAATTAATTAAGATTATGTCCCATCTTCTAGAACGAAATTAATTATTGGCAAGGAATTAGTATAAATATTATATTATTTATATTAAATTATCATATTTTGTTGATTATAACATCAGTAGATTATAATAAACTTTTGAGAGTGTGGACATATATAGCTCAAATGTATTGTATTCAGCTTTATATTCTAGAATTTCCTTTGCTTTCAAACAAAGGCTTTTAATTTCAATCTATTTGTATCAGTTAATTACCTATCTTGCCTTCAAAATCAAAGCATTGCTATCGTACGATATATTTTTTAATTATTTTTATTTAACCGATTGAGAAAACAATTTGTGGTCTCCCTTTTTAGGAATTTTAGGATTGGGAGTCATTTTCTCTTATTAATGGCTTTTTTTTCTTAATTGAAGGACTAAAATTCAATTGCTGTTTGATTTCAGAATTTCAAAATGGACATTCTGCCTTTGTTTGGTATCTTGTGCCACCATCTCAAGATCAAAATGTACTCGGGTGCAAGTGGTTTTACAAGACTAAACTCAATCCAAATGGCTCAGTTGCACGCTACAAAGCTAGATTGTTTACTCAAGGATTCAAACATGAGTATGGAATTGACTACAAAGACACATTTAGCCCGGTGGCAAAATTCCCCACCATCAGACTTCTTATTATTGCCACCCACTTCCAATGGCATGTGTTACATCTCAAAGTCTATAATGTGTTTTTGCATGGAAAACTTTCTTAAATGGTTCATATGAAGCAACCCCAATATTTTATTGATCTATAATTTCCCTCCCCCGTTTGAAAATTGCATAAGTCCATCTACAGACTCAAACAATCCCCTCGATAGTGCTTTTCTACCTTTTCCTCCCATCTTTTGCAATATGGGTTTCTTACAAGCAAAGTTGATCCCTCCTTCATGATATTTCATAAAGGCCGCATTCTCTCTACCTACTCGTGTATGTGGATGATGTGCTCCTTACAGGCAATAGGAAATCTGAAATTGACAAACTTCTTACAAATTTGAACTCTCATTTTTGCATGAGAAACTAGGTCCCGTTTAACAATTCTTGGGCATCCACATTCATACAGGCAATAGGAAATCTAAAATTGACAAACTTCTTACAAATTTGAACTCTCATTTTTGCATGAGAAACTAGGTCCCGTTTAACAATTCTTGGGCATCCACATTCATACTACTCTTCAAGGCATGTGACTAAATCAATCAAGATATATTACTGATCTGCTCACCAAAGATGGAATGCTCCAATGTGAACCGGTCTTAGCCCACTTCCCTCTAAACTTCACACTTCAAAGCCTACGGATACACCATTTCCACAACCTGAACACTACTGCCAATTAGTTGGCTCTTTACAATATCTCACCATTATCAGGCCCGACATCGCCTTTGTCGTTAATCATTTATGTCAACATATGAACAACCCATCAAATAATCACTTTTAGTTATTAAAAAGGGTGCTCTGATATCTGTAAGGGACACTTAACTATGAGATTCCACTCCGAAAGTCGTCTCTACAGCTCTTCGCCTATACTGATTCATATTGGGCCGCTGATTCTCTGGACAGATGTTCCGTCACCTTATTATGTACTTTCCTTGGCGATACATTACTCTCTTGGTTAGTTAAAAAGCAACCCACCGTTGCTCGTTCATCAACTGAACCTGAATACAGAGCGTTGGCAGCTATTGCAAGCAAAATTATGTGGCTAAGGTGACTTCTTGCATACTTTCGCATCTCATCCGACACTCCCACTTCAGTGTATTGTGACAATACCTCCGCAATTGTCTTAGTTAATAACCCTATTATTCATGCTCGTACGTACAAAGCATATTGAAGTGGTTTATCATTTTATACGGGATTGCATTAAGGCAAATCATATTATCGTTCCTCATATTGCTTCACAAGACCAACCGGCGGACCTCTTTACAAAGCCCTTACCTGCTACTCGATTCACTGACTTAAGAAGCAAGCTAACAATTCAACCTGAATTGTCACCTTGAGGGGGGTTGTTAACCCAACTCAAGTGGTTCACCTCCATACGATGGCTCTGCTCCACTACTGACTACAGCATAACAAACTCCTACTATTACTGCAGTGATATACTCGTACCCCTTCAAATATTTCATCATTAATCTATCATGTTAATAAACAAATTAATGGTTTCCTATCTACAAGAATCCTAACATCATCATGATTATATATATATAATATAAGTATGAATATGTCCAAAATTTCTATAATCTTCTTCTGTTAAGCAATCTTCTTTCAGGCAATGACGTCAAGAGTAAACTTTCCCATGCAGCCCTCCATTGCCAGCGTGTTTTTCTAAATTGCTGGTTATCTTTCCAAACCAAACCTAGCTTCTTAATTTATCTCCAACCAACCTTGTCTATTCTTCATTGACCAACTGAGACTTCAACGTGTCCATCAGTTTTCTTCTTTGTTGACAAAGATCCAACCTCTCTTATTGACACCTCTTATTTGAATTCCATCAAAATTAAGCCGAAATCATTCATGGAATCCTTGATGAGTTCTTCCTCATCAATTAATGGAAGCGTGGAGTAGGATACCAATATTGGACTTGACACGAAAATCTGACACGAACTTAGGACAAAGTGGCGGCGACTGCTTATGCAAATTGGAAAAGATAATGTATTAGATTAGGTTCGAGTTAATATGAAAATAAATGCACGTAATTATTTTTTTATTTGACTTGAAGTAAACTAAAAATAATATAAAATCTAACTATGGTGGTAGTCGGTGGCCATCCGATCAGGTAGTGGTGACAACAATGATAGAGAATTTTTCAATGCATTTGAATTGAAGATCAACCCAATTTAATGATTTTCGAATACATTAAAATTGAGCTAGTTGGTGAATTTGAAATCATTCAAATTTTTTTGTTGTACATTTTTTTGCTTCAAGCCAAATACCAAGTAGAGCAGAAAATGAGTTGTCACAAGCTCGACTGACCCAAATTTGAGCCTGATTAATTAATCAAGTTTGAGTTCTGACTTGACTTTATTTCTATGACTCCCTTATAGAAAAAGCAAAGAAAATGAATATGTTTGGAATAATTATTAAAATAAAATTATGAAAAAAGAAAAATTAGAAGATAAATAAAAAAGATTCATTTGATATAAAAAATAAGAAATAATTTTAAATATTTTATTAGCTTTATAATTAAAACTCTTGAATTCAAATATATTTTAAGCTAATATTTTTTAAATGAGTTGACTCACGCGCTAGCTAATGAATTGAATCAAGGCTTACTGATGCCAAACTCGTTAGCTCATCAAGCAGCCGACTCAACAGTTGACTTGACTCACTCACACACCCGTATACCGAGGCAACATAATCCTCAAGTAATCCACTTTTTTAATCAATTAATTAAGATTATGTCCCATCTTCTAGATGGAAATTAATTATTGGCAAGGAATTAGTATAAATATTATATTATTTATATTAAATTATCATATTTTGTTGATTATAACATCAGTAGATTATTATAAACTTTTGAGAATGTGGACATATATAGCTCAAATGTATTGCATTCAGCTTTATATTCTAGAATTTCCTTTTCTTTCAAACAAAGGCTTTTAATTTCAATCTATCTGTATCAGTTAATTAGCTATCTTGCCTTCAAAATCAAAGCATTGCTATCATACGATATATATTTTTAATTATTTTTATTTAACCGATTGAGAAAACAATTTGTGGTCTACCTTTTTAGAAATTTTAGGATTGGGAGTCATTTTCTCTTATTAATGGCTTTTCTTTCTGAATTAAAGGAGTAAAATTCAATTGTTGTTTGATTTCAGAATTTCAAAATGGAAATTCTGTCTTTGTTTGGAGCCGTTTAAAAGCTCCTTTCTTAGCCATAGTTTCAAAAATGATTTTTCACAAATAGTTTTTTAAAGAAAAAAAAGCTTGAAATAACCATTAAAAATTTTGTCTTTTAAATATATTAATTTTATTAAGTATTTTTTTATCACAAAAGCTATCGGAAAGTTGTTCAAACAAAGGCTTTGTTTGAAGAAAAAATATTATGTGCGGACACCAGACAGTATCCGGATACCAAACAGAATGTGACACATCACTTTTTCGCTCGGTACCGCTCGATACCAGATGATGTGGCACTTTCTGATTGGCCTCCGGACCGTCTGGTGTCCGCAAAGAATAATTTTTCTTGTTTGAAATAGCTTTTGGCTACTATTTTTCACAACTTTAAGAAATTCTTTGTTATAGAAAATTGTTGTAGAAAGCAGTTAAAAAAATTATCAAACAAAGCCAAAACCTCAAATTACAAAAGTTTAGAAAATGCCTTTTTATCCTTTTTTTTTTTCTATTTTCATTTATTATTATATATTTTAATATTAAAAATTATATTTGATATCTTAAAAATAACCTATTTTTATTTGTATTAATATCATATAATTTAATTTATGTTGTGGTGGCCTCCATCATCATCGGTAGAGCGAATGTGGCTTCTAACGAGGAGAATAATAGTTGAAGACAATGGTGCTGCGAGTCCTATGTGATAAGTAATTTTAAAATTATCTAATAGTTCTCAAAATTATTTTAATTGTTTTTAAAAGTAATTTGATTTGTTTTTATAAATAACAAATAAAATTAATTAAAAATATCAAAAAATAATTTTCAAAATAGAAAAAAAAAAATGAAAGTGATCCCATCAAACCCTTGGTTTAATAATGATTTTGAATGAAGCATAACTTAAATTATATCATAGACTGGTGATTAAGAAAATTACTATGACCTTCTTTTTGACCATTAAAAAAAATATAAACAAGTTTTGTTAATTTTTATGAATTTACCAAGGTTGTGAAAACCGGACCGGACAACAAACTGGAAGAATTAGAGGTTCATGGTTCGACCGGTTCGACCGGTTGAACCGGGGTCGAACCGGGGTCGAACCGGATGACGTAATAAATAATAATATAATTAAAAGTGATAAACGA